GAAATGTTAATGATTTATTAAAAAAATCTCACAAACGTTTTCGTTTTTGGGATCTGATGAACGCACGATAAGACGCAATTGGAAATTTTTCGTCTGAATCTTGTTGTTGAGAGTCTCTGCTACCTCCATTAGAAAGCTTCCACAGTTGCTGAAAATCATATTTTAGTGCGGGCGAAGTATGATACAAAATGGGGCGAAGTATCATCCAAATTGACTCGTATCGCATAATGCGAAACTTACATCAGCCAAATAGTATATTTCGCTCACTGAAGGACGTCTGGAGGTCCCTCCCTGTCGGCTCTGAAAAGTCGAATGACACTTGTTATTTATCGAGCCAGGCAGGCCGACCTGTACCGCTGAATAGCGGGGATTTATTTATGAAATATAGGTAGCAAAAAAAAAGCGTTAACGAAAATACGCCTCGTGTCGTTAATCTTGTCATCTTTTCGAAATACGAACGGGTTCGCGTTGAATTTGTTAAACGTAATGTCTCTTTTTTTATTAGGGATTACACTGTGAATTCTCTAGGGACATAATTTCATTTTTATTTTCGCAAAGCACGTTTCATTACTCATAATATCATCGGAATATGGTTGTGACATTATTTATCTTGATTTTTTTTATTTATTTGACATGCTTACGGGAAATATTTAGATAATATCATACTATGATAGATATATATCGGCACCTCAAGTACCACCTTAGCTTATATTGAACTTCGTTATTCAGATACCATTCTGTAACTTGTATCAGACATCATTTGTCAGCAGCTCATATACTACATTAAATAATAATAAAATAAATATTTTAGGATACATTTGTACACAACATTTTCTAGTCCCAAACTAAGCAAAGCTTGTACTATGGGTACTAGAAAACTGATAAAAATACTTAAACATACTTTTCTTTTGTAAATAAATACATATTATACATATAGAAACACCCAGACACTAGAAAACACCATGTTCATCACACAATATTTTCCAGTAGTGGGGATCGAACCCACACCCTCTGGCGCCGGAGGCAGGTACACTACCCACTACGCTATTTGGGTCGTCAACATTACATTAGGTGCAAACATTTCACACTATAGAGACTTGTTCAGTTAAATCGCATTTATAAAAAGGCTTCGGCGTCGGGGGTCGTGGGTTCGATTCCCACACGGGACAACTATTTGTGTGGCCCACAGATAGTTGTTTTCCATCTGGGTGTTTGTCCGCGTAAAATTTATGTTTGTAAAATGTCCTTACAACACAAGATAATGTTATCCTAAAGTAAGGGCAATACAAAATAAAAGAGATAATATATATTTAAATTAAAGACTGCAGATAAAACGTTCTAGTATATTTATTTTACTTCGTTTTAGAGTGTTTTTAAAAGTGTAACAAATTTGTTTACACAGACCTAACTAGAAGCGCCTAGTTTTAGTATGTAAAGCTCGTTCCGATCGTATAATTGCGTCGGAAACGTGCTTGAGATACGTTCGAGAAATAAAATCTCATACCTGCCGCCTTTGTGCTTTGCTCTGAAGGTTAAGTGATAAGCGAAAATCGATATTACGAGGCCATCGTTTGCGCGGAAATCCAATTGCCCCCTACCGAGTTTTATTCGTCTTTACTTTGATTGTCGGTATGCGTATTTTAGTACGCACATTTAAAGCTATGTCACATTTTAAATTAACTTGTGTACCCCAATTTTTAATTAAAACAAATTAAAATATGTACTAAAAAATTTTACGGAATTGATCGCTTTATCACCCGACGTTTCGAATGCTTTGCAGTTTTCATGGCAACGGGAGATATTGACGTGTAAAATGTTCTGATATCGCTGTTGACCCAAATTACTTTCAGCTTGGAAATTTTAAAGTTTTTTATAGTGCTAATCTCTGCACTTAAGATTTTCTACATGTTTTAAAGCTTAGAAATAGTTAATTTTCATCCGACATTTTCATATACGGCCACGACGTGTTACTTACAGAATCCCAAGCAGGTGATGACAATTCTTTATTATATTTCATATTCCTCGCGAAGCGGCCTTAATACGAATCAGTGTTATTTCATGACGGCTTGTGGTAATTTGTAGTCTATCCCATATTATGTAATGTTTGGGGAAGTTTACATTACTTTCATTGGCCGCCGACTCGTTTAATCTTTTCACCTTAAACCGACTATCGCACTAGGGAATTATCCCCGTGTTGAGTTTTTCATACATTTGGTTACGCGTTTCGTTTGTTGAAGCCGGGGCAAAAGTGTTCTAAATGCCCATGAGCGGTGGTTATCACTTAACACGATGTGAACCGTCGTGCTCGTTTGAAAACTTTTCCCATTAAAAAAATATGAAGTCTTGCACAGAATGTAAACCTGTTTGTGCAAAATGCAAAATGTTTCTTCCGCAAATGTTTTGCCTCGAGTGAGAATCGAACCCTGGCCTCTTAAACAACTGTACAATTCGTTCAGTCAACATTTGAAGATTCAGATTTTACCAATCGTTTTTAAAGTGTATATAATTGTGTTCACAATATATATATATATATATATATATATATATATATATATATATATATATATATATATATACAATAAATATATATATATATATATATATACAATAAATATATTTATATAAATACAATTGGGTTACAAAAATTAAACTCCGTGATTTACATATTGATATACAAAGACAGATTGTTTCGTGACATTAAACGATGTGAGGTATTCGAATTCTTCGCGATAAAATTATTTATCAATGTGTAGTATTCGAATAAAACAAAAAAATACTAAAGTTATCTCAAAATATTAATGTTGTCTTTCGAATCAGGAATAAAGAGCGGAACGTTGTTCAACGTTGAAAACACGATGGCGCCCGCGAAAAATGTATTTGGGCGACAATAGGCATTTAATTTAAAGCGCACTCATTTGTAAGGACATGCGGAGAGACGTTGAGTTTTATAATATTTAAGGCCGAATGGAATAAACGTCCGTACTTACCACTCACGCTTTACGTTGAGCTTTTGAATAGCCGACGACGTACTCGCTGAAAAGCGCCCTGAAGAGGTCCCTTACATCAAAGGCGGGCCGTGAATATTCAGATGCGCCATTTACGTTAACAACATCTACTTAACAAAACGCAGGTTTTGTAATAACGTAGACGTTACAAAGTGCTTTAGTCTCGTTAAGGTCGCTTAGGCGTTTTGTGCGGTCGCTTTGTTTGCAGTAGACGAAGACCACAAATTATTTTGATCGACTCTCACTAAAGCTATTGTATACAATAGAATACGAAGTGAGGCATGTATCAAGGATATATTGAAGGTTTTAAATTGAAGCTATTCATTTACTTTGTAATTTATTTATCGCCTGGTGACGTCTTTCTCGTAAATTTACAACCATGTAGTCAACTTCTGTACTGTTAAGAAACAGTCACATCACCGATAATATTAAATGACGACCCTAAGAAAGTGTTAACCGATGTTATTAACTAAAAATTAAGTGATTTTTTTAGTTTATGTTTAACTCTTCAATGCCTTTTTATGTCATTTGAGAACGGTGGTACTACCTTAGTAGTCAGAAAATCTAATGGTTGAGCTATAGGGAACACGACGATGTACAACAGATAACAATAAAACCGTCTCTTCGGTCTAACCGGATCATTTGTTTAATTAATTTAAAATGAATTTATTCCCCGACGCAGGAATTCGGTGAGGCGTTGATCCCGTCCCGTCGCGCGCCGCATTCCACAGAGATAACAAGGAGAAAAGTGGAATAGCTCACTGATGTTGGGCTCCATCAGATAAAGAGGCGTTTACACACTGGCATGTTTGCTCCGGCCTCTGTTGATATTAGAATCTAATTTGCCGCGCAAACGTATCGTTTCGTATTGATTTAGGAGCCGATTCGTTACAAATTTATATCGCTCCATCGTCGACGCTTCGATAAAACTTCGGTTGGAGCTTTCACACGTAACGTGTACATTTCGCGGTGTCGACATTTTGAGTGCGTTCTATCAGACAAATCGCGTTTTGTTTTGTACTTTATTCGAGTGTCGATAGAGTTGTTATAACTTACGCGTATATTACGTGTGAATTAAGGTTACATTTACTTTTGAATACGATAAATGCTTTAGGTTGCAAAGAATATTCGTGATTTCCGTTAACCGTGAAGTTCGGATGGAGAGATTTGTATGGAATTGCAGTTCTGGATTTCCAATTAGTGAAAATTTACTTATCCATTCCATTATCTCGACTATCCAAAAATAATGATAACTAATGATAAAGTAATATTATAAATAATTAATCAAGCTTTTTTCATCACAAACATAATAGGTAGCAAGTCTAGTCAAGTTTTTTCTCACGTTATTAAACTTACACATGCATACATATAATAAACATTTGTTATGAGCCCGTGTAATAATAAAAAAATATAAATAGATATTGATATTTATATTTAAAACTAGTGACGTATTTAGTCAATTTTAATTTGGATCAAAATAAAATTAGAAGGCCGATAACTACGATGAAAATGGAAATTGAGTATTACTATAGACAATCCCAGTGTAACAAAACAGTCGTTTAAGCAAGAATAAAAAATAGAATATTAGTAATGAACTGATAAAGACTTCCAAGCTTTACGACGGTAATTTCTCACTCAATACCTAGAACTATGCTTTTGTTTAACAAAAACTGTTAATTAAATAACCATTTTGTTACTAACCATAAACAAAACCGACTTCAAATATCTCGCTCTGTATTCATTTTATAATTGATTTTGCGGAGTTCCCTAAGTACCTCCGGAGCCCAAGATCCAAAACCAACGAAATTAACACAACAAAAATGGGACCACATGGGAAGCAGCAGCTTCCAACTAAAAAAGGAATCATAAAACCGGTTCACCCAGTCGAAAGATCTTAGGTAACAAACATAAAAAACAAAACACAGTCGAATTGAGAACCTTCTCCTTTTGAAGTCGGTTAAAGAGCGCAGTCGATGACGTTCCCCCTTTCCGCAGAGCACCTGACGGCGCTCTCGCACCAGTCGCAGAACAAGACGTCCGTGCTATTCCTGCAACTGTACCGGGTGCACGCGACGCGGACGAGGGCGCCCCTCGCGGCGCTGTACGACGACATCCGCGCCCTCCTCCGCTCGGGGACGGAGCGTGACGTCAGCGTGGACTCGGCCGCGTCGCCGCCAAGGGACCTGGCGGCGGGCGCGAGGAGGTTCTTCCGCGAGGTGTTCCCCGTGGCGTACCAGAACGTGCTCAAGCTGGACAAGCAGTTCACGCCCGAGTACGAGGCCTGCCTGCGGGACGCGTACGACGCGGTGCGGCCTTTCGGCGAAGTGCCCCAGCAGGTGGGAACCATTTATTTATTTATTAGGGAAACGTTCAGTATTGCTGTACTTATAAATAAATTAATAAATAAATCGTATACTTATATAGTACCCGGAGGACCGAGCTTTGCTCGATTTGTTTTTTTTTTGGTAAATCGTGTATTTTGGAAATTACATTTAGATACAAATTACTGAGTAATGAAATATGCATAATATTTTTCGATCTAACCTAAATAATAATAAGAAAATATGAACTGGTGTTTTTCTCAAAAAAAAAGGGAAAAAAATAACAAAATAACAAATCGACAAAAAATTAAAAATAAGAAAGCAATGATCTGTAAAATAAATGTGTAAGTGATCGTGTCGCGAACCACGGCCGTCTGTTTTGGGGCCGCCCGATTACCGACCGATCTATTATGACATTTTCTCTTGCGGCGAAATTTACCGTCATATTCGAATTATATTTTTCATTCCCTGAAAACAGGGATAAAAGGACATTTTCTAAAAATGAAACCTAGCTAGATTGATTTTTCGCCCCCGAATCTCTGCACATACTAAATTTCATGAAAATCGCTGGAGCCGTTTCCGAGATTCCGATTATATATATATATATATATACAAGATAAATAAATATGCTCGTTTAAAAGATAAGATAAATAAAAAAGCAGGTGGGAACGATTTATTTATTTAAAGAAACGTACAGTATACAACACGCAGTTACTATAAATGTTTTGTACAAACACCAGTTAAGTTTCCTCTAATAGGAAAATCATAAAAGGACAGAAAGTATAGAGTTCAATTAAAAAGCAAATATATATAACAATTAAGAAACAATATAAATAATAAGAAAAAAAGTAAAGTTACAGCCTATCCATGTCCCACTGCTGGGCAAAGGCCTCCTCTATATAGAGGGTATCAGGGCATAGTCCACCACGCGGCCCCACTGCGGATTGGCGGACTTCACATATCTTCGAAACATTATTATTTTTTTTGTTATTATTTCGAAAATATGCAGGTTTCCTCACGATGTTTTCCTTCACCGCGGAGCACGTGATAAGACAGCACTTAAAGTTAAAAACTTCATTGGTGCCGGCACCGGGAATCGAACTCAAGTTGCTCGAGTATATTGAATTAAAGGCGAGCGCCGAGCTATCACGGTAATGAGAACAGCAGTAGTTAAAATTGTAAACATTCAATAGGCAGACAGTTCAGAACACAGGCTAGAGATTGTTGCCATAATTTAAAATTAAAATGTCGTATTGAAATGATTGAGAAAACAGTGAAAATAAATTAATTTATTTGATTACAGTCAAATTTCGACCAATGTGTGACTAATATAATTATGTATATAAATAGGTAAAGACGAAATAATTAATGCAATAGCAGAATGACTGAAGAGAATAAATGGAGAATAGATGGAGAATAAATACGAGGGTCGAGGAATCTACACAGGATATTTCTTAACGCGCAATGCCAAGAATTTTAAAAGGACTCTGATGTCCAACGTCATAAGTTACTGAAAGAAATGCGGCTAACGTTTTCCTCCGTTTTCCGCGTTTTAAAATAAAGCGATGAACTTGAATTCCAGAAAGCGGATAAGATTTTTGTTGTATTAAGTTTTAGAATTTGCTTTTTTGTGTTTTTGCTAGCATTTTATTGGTACTAAAGAGTGATAGTTATAGAATATATTAATGTACAATGAATCACGTTTTACATGTATCTGTATATACTTTGGGAACGTCTAGAGAAAGTAGTAACAGTGTATTTCCAGTTACTTATTGACAATAGACAATTCAACCTACCGAATGAAACGCCAGACTTACGGCCTGAATTCGATGGCTTAATTCCCAGCGGGATCCTAAAACCTTCCCCTTTTTTGTATTTGTATATCTTGGGTGCTAAAAAACGACTTTATTGCTGTCAATATTTTTTCATATTCGTGTCCAGTGTCTTGTATAGCATTTGCCTTCTCTATTTACTCTTAAGCGGTTTAAAGACTTCAATACTGTTGTCGGAAATAATTAAACATAAGTTTATTTTCAGCTGGGATCCTCGCTCTCGCGTTCGCTGGAAGCGGCCCGAGTTCTTCTCCAAGTGTTAGCTGTTGGAGCCAGTGCTTTGACGGCGAGCGAGCAAGTACTTACGAGCAGCAACGAGGAGTGCCAGAAGAAGATATTGAGGGTAGGGGGCTGCGCACGCTGCCACGGCTTCGACGTCAGCCCTTGCCAGAACTACTGCTTGAACGTCGCGAGGGGGTAAGTTACACAACTGTCACTAAACCATTTAAACAAATACGAAGTTCTATCGTAATTCACACTGACGTGAAAATTATAGCTTTATTTACAAGGCAATCGTTCCCATTATTCAAATCATCATAATCAGCTGGAAGACGTCCACTTTTATGTCAAAAATTGCCAAGCGAGCAGACAGTTCACCTGATATTAAGTGAATACCGCCTCCCATGACATCTGCTACACCCGAGGGTTTTAGATGCGTTGACAACATTTTAAAAATTGGCCTCCGGCCACCTCACTCACCAGACGAAACGCGAAAGTATTATAATTCCACTTCACGCGGGTCTTCTGTGAGGTCGTGGTACGTACCTGCGGACGAGCCTGCCCATTCGTGCAACACCCGAGGCTACTGCGTTGCCCTTCCACCGTTAAATATAATGGAACACTGGAATTCAATAGGTATTTTATTGGAAAGAAAAATAATACAAGTAGACATACAATTTTACCTCGAGAGTTCGTCCTGCCGAGTTTAATTTGGTACTACAATTAGAGTCAGCACACGATATGCTGGGGCCTTTAGTAAAATGCGGGTATTTTAATGGTGAACGTGCGTTTATTTTCTGCAAAGTAAGTCAAGGTGTCGGCAAACAAGCAAACTGTTGATGAACTACGATGATAATGACGTTCTATTATAATTACCTAAGGACTTCCTTGCGGTAGACTGATAGCACTGACAAGCCATGTACGTTATCTAACATTCCTTTCCAAGCCTTATTCGCATTTAGAATATAAAACTTATAGTGTAGGCTTTTCTGCGGTTGGCTGACACAATTCCACGTCTGAATAGGATTCGGGCGATCGTATATTACCATGCCTATTTGATGGAGCTTAACTCTCACAAGATATCTGATGTAATAAGAATAGCACAACAGATAGCATTGTCAAATAATACTACAATCTCTTATCCTGTCTGTTCAATACTAAATTAGTAAGACTCAAATAAGCAATCGTCTTCAATTATAGACGTTGTAAACCTAATAACGCATTCTTCGTCGGAATTCGAAAGTTGAAGGAACAAGGGCGGCGCCGCGATGAAGCAGTTTATTATTTCGACTGTACAATTTCCTACCTGCTACTTTTACGTCGTGTTCATAGAATACACGCCGCCGCTAGACGTAATATAAAGTGTATACAACTTTATGGCGACATTACCGCCGCACCCCGCTGTGCTGCCTCCAGTTTCATTTAATGCCCGATCACGAAGTAACCGTATTTTAACAAGATAACGTACTGCTGGGGATTTTCGAGGAAACAGATTAGCGTTCACAGTCTTATAAATGTTAAATAATTTGAGATTCCGCTGATAATCAACCCCTGTCTACTCGAGGGTGAGATAAATAGCGATACTGAAATTATAGCTAATTCTTTATATATTCTGTATATAGTCACTGTTGGTTTATTTGTGTCACAGTTTATTTATGAATTGGAATCGCATTCGAAAACACGGCATGTACTTATTCAGGAAACAAAGCTGTAACGTACGTGTAACAAGGTGTTAAATAAATTATCTAAGCTATTTAAAATAAAAGAAAGAAATTTTTATACGACGCATTACAGGAAAAAAATACAAGAAACAAGAATAACAATAAGATCGTGAAAATGTAAGCACCAAAAAGGTCTCTGCTCAATATATGGCCACGGCAGAAAGTAAGACGGCACTGGTTTTCTGCGGATGCCTTATAAGCAGATTAGCGTTAAGCTCCATGCATACAATCGACAAAAATAAGATGAAGATAAAATGGAATAATAGTATACTAAGTTAAGGTTATCTATCCTTTCTATTAAAATCAATGATTCCAAGTGGCTTCGTAATGAATTCATTAGCACTTTCAAGCTTAAGCAGTAATTTTTCTGTTTAGAAGAAATATATTAAATAGTAAACGAAAAAGAATAACGGGCTAGACGAAATACGTTTAGCTAATGTTAAGGTTTTATTCTCATAAACAAAGCTTACGTAATATTTGTATTGTTGTAACTGAGCTGGGTATTTGTTCATAATCAACTCTGATGTAACATTGGTTCAAATATCACATTAATCAAAGGGGACTTAGGGAAAAATAACTAAATCCCTCACCACCGATGTCTATTTTGGCGAAACTCTGACTAGTATGAGCGCAACTTGACCCTTGTATTTTATTAACAAAAGCAATGGCAAAGTAGCTGGTCACTCAAGACTTTGGATCGGGCAAGTAACGTTGAGCAATAACATATGTACCCATACTTGGCAACTGAATGACCACGTTTCACTTAAATCGCATAATAAGTTTGGTGAAAGTGTTAAGCGGTATTGCAAATGAAATTCCTTATAAATAATACATAATGATAGCAAGTTTCTTATACTGTATTCTGAGCACTTCGAAATAAGCGGAACGATGAAACAATATGTCGTTTGGAATTGCCTTAACTTTGTAACGTAACTAATGATCAAATAAAATGGTTTTGGCTTTGGATTTGAAAAAGAGCTATAACTATCCTCGTCTAACATAATAGAGGAAGCAACTATCTTCGCCGAACATTTTAGGGTGTAATGACATTATCTCTGTCTCCTGTTGTCTTGTTAGGGGAGACTAGAGCTTGCATTCGCCCAGTGCTGCGCTTTTGATGTTTGTGATGCCATTGTAATGCTGGCTTCCGTCGCAGCTGCATCGGCTCCCTGGTGGCGGAACTCGACGCGCCTTGGGCGGGCTACGTGGAGGGCGTGGAGAGAGTGGCACGGGCGGACGCAGATGCAGCCCTGAGGGCCCTCGACGCCAGGGTATCAGAGGCTATTATGCACGCCCTTGAAAATCACGCCGTACTGGAGAAAAAGGTAAGAAGCTTACCAAATTGTTTTAAAATTTTGACTTTATCCTTACTTCCTTACTAATATTATAAAGGCGAAAGTTTATATGTATGGATGGATGTTTGTTACTGTTTCACGTAAATACTAGTGAATGGATTTTTAAACTGACTTTTTGAACTTTACAATAATATAGCTTAATCATCAGAATAAAACATAGGCAATTATATACATATTTTTATGTCTTTCTGTCTGAATGTTACGCCTTCAGCCTATTTAGATTAGCGCAGACATAGTCGCAGGCAGCAGCTAGTAAGAAAAATTTTGTTCATCCGTTTATAACAGAAGTGTAATTAGTAACTGCAGTAAGCATTTAAGTTGCAATTGATTTGAGATTTTTAATCCCAGAATCACTTAAAAGATCACAGACAGATTAAGCCGATATCTAAACTATGAGGTTTGCAACTACATGGCTTATATTAAAAAAAAAATTGAAAGTAAGACCTTAACTGTCTGTTATTACTTGTTTAAACATGAAACCCTATTTTTAATTTTTTTTAAATGTGAAATAATTAACAAATCATGTAACAAACCCTCTTAACATCCAAAAAATAAAATATCCACCTTTCTTCAATTAATTAATAATGCATCTAGTGCCTACTGCAGATACTTGAATATTTTGTTTAATAATTCACGAATTCATTTGTTTTACGACTATGATCACAAAATATTTCAAACACTATCATTTTATAAAAAAATCATATTTCACTCAGACCTTTTACAACAAAGACTGAATTATATCTCTTCATAATTTCTTACCCTTTAGCAAATGAAAGCGGTTGGTTCGTAAGTCCCAAGAAGATCTATTGTAATCTTCGAAAACATTCTTAAATGTTAGTTCATATATCTACAATATTTTAAAATTTTGTAATAACTACACATTTGCGTGTATTACATGCCTACTTAGAAAACGCGTTTACGCCTCCGTCCAACGAGCACTGACAGGCGGTCCGCTTCTGCTGAACACGATAATTTTCAACTTGTTAAGTTACGGCCCACTCCGACGACGACGCAATAATTTCGCTCGATACACCGACGTACCGACAGTTAATAGCCGAGCATTTCGCACGCTATTTTAGCATTAAATCGCCGCGGGGTCGTTGACCCGCGGAGCTCGGCCGAGACATCTAGGTGGGTTCGCGTCACTTCAGATTCGCGGCAAGCGAGGTGGAATATAAATTCATAGGGCATTTAACGCCGCGCCACGGTTTGGCGTCGTGCCACCGCCCGGTGGGGATTCCGCTCGGCGATACGATTCAATTGTTTCCACGTTATCGCAACGCAACTCGGCATTAGCATTCAGAGTGCTCGGCAATAAAAGCCCGTTGTCACGGCTCGGGTCCATCGGAAAGTCGTAAAGTCGGAATCTATTCCTAGATTAGGTTACGCCGTATGATGGCGTCGTAAAAGCAGATTGGATTAGTCGACGCGAAGGCATTGCGAGAACGCAGGTTAACGTGAGCAGCGCAGGTGTTTTCCGTGCCCCGTGTCACAAATGCGGACGAAAGTTGGCCGAGCGGACAGTGCGATGGAATGAACAGATATTTCTCAATGACTGAAACCGATCCTGAGTATCTTAAACCAAATTGAAAACAAAGACGAGGTTATCAAATTTCGTTTTATTCAGCGATAAATCTATATAGCATCGTTCAATTTCAAATATATTTTGCAACATGGGGTTAAATCTGTACATCTATCGTCTCCTTTTTATGAGGTACCTTCTACCTCTATATAAATTAGGTCAAGACCAGGTTGTTATCCGGATCTTGAATATTTTCTTCTTTAATTTGCAAATTCATCGGCATGAGAAGTCAGTTCTTTAAATCTCGTTCTAGAAATCGTAGAACCTAAAAGGTATTTTTCAATTTGAATTTCTTTAACTGGAGTCGTGTTTTGAAATTACTTCCATCTTTGATCGGGTTTTGTTTGTTGTTTCTTAAATTGATTTTTCTCACGCTACAATATTTCTTTTGATACCTGTAACAAAGATACGCATCTTAATCTCAACAACACCACTAAGATTATGTTCACTAATCGTGTTGTAATGATAAGGTTGCTTCCTGTTTTATATGGAACCCTGCGACACCTAAAGATTGGTATAAGATTTCAACTGATCAACGTAATCAAAGTGATGGCGTAAAAACCTGATCAAACGTCAACGTGATAAAATCAATTCGGAGGCAACGTAATGGACACTTGTGCGATCAAAAACCAACGGCTTGTATATTTTATACAATTACCGGAAAACCGCCCCGGCTTCTTCAATTTGCCATTGAGTTTTTACTTTCAATTCATCATGCCGTGAAAGTCACATATTTTTTTCTAATGTAAACTTTTAATAAACTTATCATATTATTAAAATAATTTTCTGTCCTCTGACGTCTTTATTCAAAACTTCACAATCACAAATTGAAAAATTAGCACACATTTCATACATTTGCTATTTTTTTATAATATTTCGCTTACTTTAGGGTAATATTATCCTGTGTTGTAAGCACGTTAAGCAGAAATAGTCGTCCCGTGTGGGAATCGAACTCACGACCCCAGACGCCGAAGCCGAAATCTTGGCAACTGCGCCACGGAGTCATCAATCGTTCGTTGTACAAATGCCATGAGTAATTAAACTATTAATATTACAAATACAAATATAATTAAGGTTTTTAGTGGTAAGAATCTTATTACAGTAGGTAAGAGATTGAAGGCACAAAACTGAATATATAATAAAAATTTATATGTCAGAAATCTTCTGTCTCTACATCATGGCTGAAGCAAACATTTCAAAATGATAAATTTTTCCTGAATATCATACTATAGGAAGAATTTTTATGCTCTCTAGAAATAGCAAAGAGAAAGGATCGTAAAGCTTAAAGCCCATTTCCAGTTCCACTGCCTCAACCAGCCACGGTAACATAATAAACATGGAGTTTAGTTCACTTTACGATCTTTGCTCGATATTGAAACGTCTGCCTCGTAAATTTTAATAATTTATTTATTCATTACCTTCGATATAAATGACAATTTATATTAAACAAACATTTTGTGGAAACTTTTTGAATGGAGTTTGGCATATAATGACTTCTCCTAGTAACAAATTTTTAGGCATCACACAACAAAATGAGTATCATCATACAACAAAATAAGTATCATAATAGAAGATTGTAAAGCTAGAGAAAGATCCAAGATAGTTTTGGACTATGTGAAGAATGATATGTAAGTGAAAGGAGCTTGTATTAAGATGACGGTTGATAGAGTAAAGTACAAATAGAGGACATATTGTTGCCGGCCCTTTCTAGTTTAAGACAGGAGCAGCAGATAGAAGACAGAAATAACTGTATTTCGTATGACAATTTCACCAAATACGATTGTTTATATTAAATATAATGTATTGTTTAGATAATGGATCTCTTTCTACACCGCTAGGAACATGAGGCGTAAATTTTTGGAAAGTATACGTACGCGCTCATTATAATAACTGTTTATTTAACAGTTCCGACGTCTAAGTTCGATAATAGGCCTACACTGATTACTGCAGCACATTAGCGATGTTTATAAATTCAAGCGTATGTAATTCCATTGTAATTATATGGGAAAAAAAACGTGTAAATTACAATGGCGATGGGCAGACAAAGCGCAGACATCCCGTTGACTCATGGCGGTAATGTCACGAAATGATTATGTCATTCAGAGTCTCCAAGGACGTTGTTTCCGGTTTAGGCAACGGCAGTATTGTTATAAATGGTCCGAATGAATGTACCATCCGTGTATAAGGTCGAGTTTGCGCTGATGTTCTATATTTGTAGACCTCTTCTCTAATTTGGCTGACAGATGAACAATTGTACACAAATGAGGCGCGTTATGTAACATAATTTATGGTCCATTATCTTATTTTTCTGGCCTACGGTATTATATGTTTTCACGACTATTTCGTAATGGTCGACGTGGCAACTAAGTATTTGCACCTTTAGAGCTTTAACAAAGTTGAATTCTAATTCTACTAAAAGTTGCAAAATTGTGTTTAAGTGCGCAAGTACTAATGTCATGCATAGGTCATGCTAGATTAGGTGCTAGACACAAAAATATTGAAGAATACGCAGCAAAGGTTTGTCTAGTACATGTGGTTTTTGCTTATAGCAATCTCGTAGCCTGTGAAATTGGTAGAAGTTGTCTTTATACGTCCCTTATTAAGCCAAAGCTTAGCTTTAATTTTATGCTAAGCTTTTTGTCACCTGTACATAATTATTCTTAAAAAAATACCCATAGAAAAGTCTTATTTAACAGTACTTTTAACATTTATGAGAAAACTATACAGTTTATAAGCAAAATGTATAGTTGTAAATTTTTAAGGGCTCACTTTATTAAACGGTGTCAAGCGAGCTGGCACATAAAAGGTTCCGTACCATTATCTATAAAAACGGAAAAAAGTTATGTCTGTTCCATGGGACCCTCACTTAAATTTTTTTAATTCTGTTTTTGAGTATTTGTTGTTACGGAAATTCATCATCTGTGAAAATTTCAACTGTTCAACTATCTCGGTTCATGAGATATAGACTAGTGACAGGCGGACAAACAGACAGACAGATACACAGACAGACAGATTGACAGACAGACAGACAGACAGTGGAGTCTCAGTAATTGAGTCCCATTTATCCCTTTAGGTTCGGAACTCTAAAAATTAAGTTTACAATAACAGCTTAGATTATACGAACTAAAATTTCTCAGACATAAAGAATAGCGATTCACTGTCAAAACATTAACGCCCTAGGGAGGGTTGGGCGGGGTCTCTATTTCAAAAGCTGAAGTCGGGAGTTGGGAATAATGTTGACTTTCAATTTTCATAGTAATGGCATTGGTCGAAGCGAAGTTCCTCGGCCGCGGCGAATCGGCCGGGATTCAATTTACCCTCGTCGCGAAAAGTTTCCGTATAAAATTTAAGATTGCTCCCGCCGTTAAAATAATGAAAAACGGGATTC